ATCAATGATACACGGAAAACGTGCACTCCATGCAGGATAAGAATCTCAATTAAGCTAAAGCGTGGTTAGATTTAATGGCAGTTTCATAATTAAATAGGTCTAATTTTTGGTAACTTTAGGTTATGAGTTACGATAGTCATCCATTGATAACTATGTCCCCTAAAACCATTTGAACAGTGGATGCGAAATTCTAAGGAATACCTCAGCGTTTTCATCGAAAGCTAGGTTGAAACACTACGGAGTTCGCGCGCACTTGCTTTAACATCCGCATGCAACATTTTGGGAAATTACTTGAATTATGCAGGATTTCGGTTGCTGAATACAAAACCGCGAACGCTAAGCTGTTTTATTCATGTTGAGTGTAACTCAATGGATTAAGTATCTGAATTCAACCTCCAGGATTGCGCGTTATTGACTCGTCAGAAGAGTGACCAAGTTGTATCGCCACAGCATTGCCGAGCGCCAGTATAGCAAATAGTAGAATTACAATACAGAATTAGGGTCTGGATGTAAGATGTTTTTAGGTAAAAAAAATTTCCCCAAAAGAGAAATATCCGTTTCTTCCTAGTTCCGTAAACTAGGGTATATAGGGAGATCAATTAAACACAAAATCTCATGTATAAGTTGCTCTTGTTTCTGCATTCGTAACTTGAATCTCAACGTATTTGGCTCTCTGGTTCTTGTTTGCCCATGCATTTTGAAAAAAACTTCCACATGGTAGTGCTCCCGCATGCGGCTCAACAACAAGTATAAGTCGATTCCAGAGAAGGCGTTTTCATACCAAAACGGTCATGTTTCAGTTGAATGAATTATGGCATCTCGGATGAAATATATTGGATCTCCAAAATGAACACACCCGAGTGCAGTTTCCAAAATGAACCTAGCGAAATTTATCTTATCAATTTGTAACATTCCGTCTGATTTTACCTTGATGGATTCAACTCGTAAGGTAAATTTCCTAGTACGCTGCCGATCTGCGCAATAATAATGTGTTAGCAAGCGGACTTTTACCGAATAAAAATGGCTAGATTCCCCGCAATTGTTTAGGAAGTAACCATAGCTACTAGTTGCTGAATGAAGTGTGACGTATTTTGGGCAAATAAATGAGGTAAGAAGATGTGATGAATCTCTACGACCCGGAATATATTTATTGCTTCTTCAGTTTATTTGAAGAACAGTTCAGTTATTGAAACATCGAGGGTATCGGGAATTTCGGTTTAAAGGAGACATGGCTTGGAATATGGAATATAATTGGAACATATATTTATGGAATATACATGGAATATTTTTTCGGAAGAAAGTTTTCGTTTTCAGTTCAGCAAGTTTTTTCAACTGCCATATGAACATTACGTGAAAAACATTAGTTCAGTCCAAATCATTTAAGCCAGCTTTGTAAAGTATGTCAGTAACCACTATTGCTCTCATCGATTATAAACGTCCAACATGGTAAAAGTTATAAAAAGATGCAATAAATCACATCAATAAAAAATCAAAGGGCACAAGCATTTGGGAGGCGTGAATTTTGTGTCATTTCCCTGATGGCCCAAATATGATGTCCATTAACATGAAACAAGCAGACGACGCGTTCAGCTAATCAGATGTGCTCATCTGCTTGTAACAAATAATCATGACTCCTCGGGAATACTTTCAGCATTCTGGGTGTCTTTGGGCTTAAGTCGATCCGATTCGACGAATTATTTTGCGGCTTACTGTGACAATCAAAATATTCTATGCAGAATCATAAGTTGACACTGCTCACTACGTTCGAATGCATAAACCGTTTGCCACAACCTGGCGACACTCAACAGATTGCACTAACTGAGGCTTACGGAATATCCATCATACCCTGGCATCCATATTTCTAATACTCGATGTATTGACAATCCTAAGTTCGGAAAGAATGAAGTCTTTCTGCGACCACTGCTGGCAAAAGCCGCATGAATGTTATTTCAGCAATCTGATGGTTTGTACTAAACTTCAAGCGTTCCGTCAAGAGTTCCGTCCACTCTAGGACGCCTGAACAGAAGTTAATGTAGTTTGCGGGATCAAATCTCTTTTGTTTGTTCTCGCGAATTTACCGCCTCTATATCGGGTCTCCCATTCATTCTCAATGCAAGTTACCAACATTTAGTTGGTTACCAACTTGCAAAACCCCCGCTCACTAGATTAAAAAATTGCGTTCATGTTACAACAATCAAATTCAATTCGCCGACAACGATTTAAATTTTTAAACTTTATTTCGTTTAAACAAAATTACATAATGCCATAACCTTTCTATATGGGTGGTTTTCCCTTTCTAAATAGAATGTCGACTAAGCTGTCAACTGTTTTGTATCGGGGTGCTAAACCCCTCATCTTTNGAGCCGTTCTCGATTATGTGGCATACGGTAATGTTCAACTGCACGACACGTGACCTGATTAATCCAAGTGCTAACATCGATAAGCAAATGACAGACGAGTAGCAAATCAGCCCCATACGGGGCGCGCATAATCATGATTACTCGAATAAACGTCCGAAGTTTAGATAATTCAAATGGAGGTTTAGTATGTTTATCCTTAAGTGCCAAGTGCAATTCCATGAGCCATTACCTTGGCATAGATTTTTCAAATCCCCGTCATTACATATGCATTCCATATAATTGTCATTTCATATATACGAACATTTGTGCTAGTTGGAACGTGGTCAACCTACAGAAACTAGAATTTACAAAATCATGAACGCGCGTTCCGAATCGTGAACCTGTCATCAACATGGACACCTGAAACAGGTAACCTTTCAGCAATGTGTACCGTCACTAAAAATCATTTTCATTAAGCTAACAAGCTTCTGCTATTCAAAGAAAATTCAAAGAACACATAAGACATCAGGGAGCGTAATTTTTATGCCATTGTCTGCACAAAAATTTAATATATAAAGATTGATGTGTTTACAAGATCTATGTCAAAGATGTCCGGATGCTGAGATACTGCAACACAATCTTGAAATTTATAATGAAATTAACTCAATATACATTAAACTAAATGGCAATTTCACCTCGAAACCATTAATGAATAGCACACAATTTTGTTATTCGCCCGAGGTTTGAACAATAAGCATAGCATTCACTGGTGAGCTCGAAGCATATTAGGAACATCCATGTTTATTGAATAATGTCGGCCGGTACACGAAACACCAGAATCATTTATGTACGGTCGATCGGTTTCACAAACTCACTATCTGGTATGTTGAAATCGGCAGAAAAAGGAACCATATCGATATGGTAAACATCACACCATGTTTGACATGCTGTCGTTCTGCCATCTGTAATCGAATCACAAATAATTCG